ATGATTGGTTCTCAATAGAAGTAAAATAGTGTAACTATCATAGATTGTGAATTTATAAAACCATTGTACTTAAGAGTCCTTGGATCATATCCATTTCTTTTGCTCTGTCTGGTCCCACTTTCATACACTTCTAAAGTTCATGTTTAAGTCATCTGGACAAGAAACTTACTACACTGCTTCTCTTTTTACGTTTGTTGCACTGTAATTTTTATTTATATTTAAAAAATCATAACCTTAATAACTGTATCAGTGGCCTTTTAAAAAGAAGAGCATTCTCATCTCGCTGTTTTATTTTAATTAAGAATCACCAATACTTGAAGATGAAATTTTAAATATTGATAACCACTCTCTCTTTCTTTACACTGTTCATCTCTTCCCAACAGCATAAATCTGAAAGTAAAGCCTGTTTAGGCTTCCATCTTGCCAGTTAACCTAAATATATACTTAAGGGTGAAACTCAATAAAGAGCTAAGAGCTCTTCCGCGGACACATAGACACATTTCCATAGGAGAATGGCTATTTAAAGGCAGTTGGAAGCTCATTTGTCCTAAAAGTGTGGTCTTCTTCGCGAATGGACTGAAGAGCCTGAGGAGCTATCCCTGTGTTCTACTGCCACCTTGGCAAATCAGAAGGATTTACAACGGAATTCTTCACGCGGAGGTCTGGAAGCTGCTTGCTTGGCCTCTCAGGACTGCTGGGCTCAGACAGGCATTTGGAGTGACTGCTGTTCACATTGGCTTGGATGTGTTGCCGGGCGGGGGAAGGGGGGAGGACGTTGGCATCTATTCTGTGGAAAAGCATGTTTTGCTTTCCTTTTAGAAACAATACGGCTTCAGCAAGATCTACTTGTAACTCTCAGAGCTCTCTCTAACAGCTTCCTGCTTCTTTAGTGCAGAACAGAGCCTGAAAAAGCAATGCTGTCCTTGCGCTGATCTGGGTTTGCGCTCAGATCAGTCTTGGCTCATTTTAGTGGGAAGGCTGCAGTAGAGGCGCCTCAGAACGATTTTCTCGGGACTATGTTTCTTTTCAGGGTCAGCAAGATGGTTCTCTGCTATTTCAGTTAACTTCCTGGAAGTTCTGAATGCAGTGCATCTGCAAGGCTGTTTACTAAATCCAAGCAGGAGTTCATTATCTGTTTAACCTGTTCCAGGAGTCAAATCGCCCTTAAAACTGACCTGCTGTTTTAAGTCCCCCTCCCCCGCTTTTTATTTCCCTTTTCTTGCCTATTTTATGTTTTGCAATCACATATTAATCTCATTTTTTCTTCTCCACTGGGTCTTCAGGTGTCTTAATCTTTCTTACTTAAGTGATGCCATTGAGTTTACACTGGCCTCAGATGGATAGGTGGGAGGCGGCTGTCCTTGTGGTTTCTTTAAAATTTGCCTGGAGTGGGTGTGTGCCCTCCTCCATTCCTTTCGCGCACTGCACTTGGAATTCTGTTAAGAGTTAGAACTAGATCAGAGATTTCCACGTCTTCAAAGTGCAGCTGGGAAAGGAAATGATACCAGGGGCCGGGGGGGGGGGGGGGAGGGCAGAAGTAAAGGAATAAAAACCAACTTTTCTGGCAACTTCAATAAATCCGGTAACTGAAGGTAAAAAATAGATTGTGAGGGCTGGGTCTGGTCCGGATGAAACGCTAGGCTCCTTCCCAATTCCTGAGTCTGGCTCGGAAAGAGCGCCACTGGCATCTTGCCACGCGAGTGCCCCTAGACAGCCACACGCCCACTGGAACTGCACGTGAACAAAGCTTTTGCCCGGAGAGCCACCGCCTGCGGTTTCTCAATGTAATCTAGCTTCTATCCGGAGTGTAGGGTGAATACAGGGTTAAGCTAGTTCCCTCCTCGGCAGGAGGGAAAGGAGGGGGAGGGGAAACGAAGCGTTTTGCCTCGCAGGGTACCGTGCAGTTAGCTGTACAGTTGAAAGCGGTAGCCAGCACTTGTGAGTTTGGCGTCATCCATTGTCACAACCTAGGAATGTGCGCTGGGAGATAACACCAAGTGCAGGGCCTCTCCAACACGCAGAGCTCGCTCTGCTTCCAGGTGCGCTCCTTTCTGGTCCTCCGTCTCGAGTTTCCAGCAGCTGGAGACAGTACGTCTGAAACCGTCACGGCGTCCACGGAGCCTCAGGACCAGGGTGGAAGTTCTCAACAATGGGCAGGAGGGACCTCGGCGGCGACCCCTAAAACAATACCATGCCCGGGGAGTCCCTCTGCTGCCGCTGTGCCAGTTTCTTCCCTTTCCACCTCCCCGACCCAGTCGAATTCGGATGAGCTAAGGAGACAAGGCCACCAGGTAAAGGGGCTGCAAAGCCAGGGGAAGTTTCTAGTGGTTGCCCTAGCTTTTCTTAGGTGGGCACCAAGCCATCTGGGAAAACTGATTGCTTTCCCTTTTTTGAACAAGTGGTGGATGGTCATCGGGTGGGAGTTCTCAGTATTGTCTCTTTACATTACCAAAGAATATAGGCTTTTTTCCCTCTCTCTCTTTCTTTCCCGACTTGGGGATGCTCTCAAGTCGAATCCACGTCCTCTACGGAGTTTTGTGACTGAGTTGTGGGGGAAAAAAAAAAAAAAACTCCCTTGCTGCCTGCCAGAAACATCAATCCTAAAGGGAGTTTTCTAAATCCCCCATGCTTTTCGAACTCCAGACTCCCATTTCCACTAGAATGATTCTCTTAAGTCCGGTAAGTAGCAACCTCCCCTACCGTCCGTGTTGAATCCCAGAAGTGTTATTTGTATCTGAAGCCTCTACCCGCCCTGTGCCCCAAATCCGGGATTAATTAGCTACTAAACTGAGGATGCTAGTTTGTTTTCTTTCCGATCGAGTGCGATTTTTCCAAACCAAGGACCCTTCCTGCTCTGCTCCTGCACTGGGGACTGGCAGTTCCAGGGTTGGTGTAATTGCGCTTTCCTGACTCACCGGCGGGGGATGGAGAAGTCCCCCGGAACTCTATAATCACTTTCCCTGCGCCGCGTGCCTGGGACGCAGATCTGGGTCCTTCTATCCGCCCCCCCCCCCCCCCCCCCCCCCGGCGCTGAACGCAAGGCCGAACAGACGCCCAGGGCAGTAAGGGCAAGGACCCATGAAGCTTCCCTGGAGTCCCCACCAGACTAGGGACCTCCTGGAAAGATTCCTCTGCTAAGCTACCAGTCCAGGGTTCTTCCTGGAGCTTTCAGCGCCGCCGCGAATCACTTCTGTTTTGCAAACCCTCCACGATGAAGGGTCCGAGCTAGCTAAGGTCTCTGCACTAATTAGGGAAGGGAACATTTTAGAAAAGAGCCTGTCTGTCTTGAAAGGACGCATTCTAAACTTGCTGTTTGGATAAATCATCTTGCCTGCTGGGGGGCTTGGGCAGGGGCAGTTGCTGCTGAAGGCTACCGCAATCGCGACTGTCGTCTTGGCGCTTCTCTTCAGAAGCTTCCAAGATGACTCTCACTATTTCTTCTCCTCGGATTAGAGTCTCCATTCGTGCCCCCATTCTGTCCTGGATATTTGTCAGCTACACTTCGAGTTTGGAAAAAAAAAAAGACAGGCTATGTATATGTGTTTTCTAGTCGCCTTGGTGTCTATCAAGGGCAAGAGTGGCAAGCTCTCTTCTCTTGTACCTCAGCGGTGTGTGTCAATGTGTGTGAATGCATGTGGCGCGGTGCGTTTGGGTGGATCCATGTGTGGCCTGGGAGACAAATCGGGCGTATCTCCAAGTCGTCTCACCAGGATTTAAGCGCTCAAATCCATGAAGGTAGCAGACACAACAGCGATGCAAGGAAATAAAAACAATTGGGGAAGTGGTGCCAAGTGACTCAGACTTTGAACTGAGGACAAGGAGTGCGGTCCCGCCTGGGGTTCGTCCGGAAATCATCTCCAGCGTGTTACAGGCAACGCCCTTGCCAAAGCCGTCAGCCCAGAACGCTGAGAAGATCCCGAGGGAGTTGGTCCAGGGCGAGCTTTCAACTTGCAAATTGCCTTTCCTGGGGCCCTACCCACAGCGCGCCTCACTGCAGCCTAATGCTCGGTGCGTGCTTGTTCTCCCTTTTCTGTTAGTTTTCTCCGGGTCTACAGACTAGTTAAAACAGGATCCCAACTGGCTGGAGACTTATGGGCAACAGTGAATGGAAGAGCAAACCAGGCAACCATTCCTTTGCCAAAAAGAGACGGGGAAAAAAATGAAAGAGATATGTCTCAGCTTTCTTAGATTACTTTTTAACCTTTGCAAAGAGAATCCAAAGTGGGAAAGGTGTGCCAATTGGACATTTTAACCACGTAGCCTGTTTTCAGTCTTTGAAGCGGACCTTGTCGGTGGCCCATTGTAATTTCTAGAGACAGCTCATCTACTGATCATCACTCTTTCCAGGAGTAGCCAGGGTGACAGAGGAAAATGGATACGTTTGTTTATATACGATGCCAAACTCTAATTCCTCCAATTAAACTTTATGGAAGAAAGCTTGATGAGTAGACCTTTGATGGGCTGGGGATGCAACACATCCCCAATGTTCCCTGCCAGTAAAATAACGCCATTTTGGTTGAGAGACTTGCTGTATTTTTACCCTCTAATGTTACATTTCGATCATTTCTGAGTCTAAGTAATAGCTCCTCTTGCGTGGACGTACATCGGGCGAACTACCGGGTGGTTTCTTCACCGTTCTGAGAAACTGAGGGTAGGGAGGATGCCTGAGGCAGCGAGAGAGAGAGAGAGAGAGAGAGAGAGAGAGAGAGAGAGAGAGAGAGAGAGAGAGAGAGAGAGAGAGAGAGGTGCTGTGCTAGGTCAAGTTGGCATTCCTGGGTTAGCCGGGTGCACGTAATTCTCTCCAGGGAGGACAGGGTTAAAAGCTCCATCTGACTTTGCCTCTTGGAAAGCTTAGGGTTGCTGCGGCTCCTCCCAAGCATTCTTTAAACCAGAGAAGTGGGAGGGACTCGGCTTGGGAGGGAGGAGAAGAGGGAGGCCAAGAAAGAGGGCTCGTAGAGGGAGCGCGCCAGAGCACGAGGGACCGAGGGAGAGGAGGGGCGTGCAAGCTGCAAAGCCGACCCCGCGAATTCATTACAGTAAACATCTCCCGGGGGTGTCAGGAGGGGTGGGGGTGGGGACCTCAGCATCTACATTAGCGGAACCGGTCCGATCAAGGCAGCAGTGTGGCTGGAGCAGCCTCCAGACTCGCGCCCCGCAGACGCTGCACTCGGAGTCAGCCCCGCGCCCGCCCCCGCTCAGCCCGAACTGCACGCCTTGCTGCGCGTGGTCCGCACATTCGCTGCGACCGAACGCCCGCCCAGTTCTCCGGCCGACTCCCGTGGTCCTCGGTCTCGGAGAAGTCCCGAACTCGACAGGGACGCTCTCCACCGCCCTTCTAGTCCGCCCTACTTTATTCGGGGTACGAGGCGGAGAGCGGGGGGGAGACGGAAGAAGAGAGGAGAGGAAACCCGGAGCTGTGGCAGCCGGAGCCTAGATAAAGTGGCATGCTGGACCCTTGGAGGCGGAGGTGGCGGAGGACGGGGGAAGAGGATGCCGCGGCTCCGTAGGGGACGTAGGCGACTACAGGCAAGGCGAGCAGGGCGCTTGGGCGCCGGTAAGCTGCCGGGAGGCGCGCACGGCTCTGAGGCTCTGGCCTCAGCTTCCCGGAGCTCCGACACAGCCAGAGACGTAGCTGGATTGCAGCAGTCACCGCCGCCACCTGGAGGACCCAGCAAAAGTTTGGATCTGGGGGAGGGCGTTGCGCTGAGCGGGATTACCCCCGGGGCTGGAGAGAGACCTGGAAAACCTTAGCAGGTAAATGCGCACCCTTAACCGTGTCCCCTCCCCCCGGGCTTTGGATATTTTAGGTTTGACTCAAAGTAAGACTGGGGGCCAAGTTCAAGGTCCCAGAAATGGGTTTTCAGTGCTGGCGGTTCGACAGTCATGTTAGCTGGGGGTGGGAATGGGAGCCTGTGGCGGCGGGGGTGGGAGGTGTCTTGGTGTTTCTTCCTGCCAGATAGGCAGCTGTGTAAATCGACCCCCCACTCTCAGTGGAGGAGAACCCTGGGCCCCAGCTGGTGTCTGATTCTGTATAGTTTGGAAATTTAGAAAGTGTATTCAAGGACTTTTAAGTGTGCCTGAATCCACAGAAATGATTGATGGATTTCATTCACCCCATTCTCTCATTCTCTCAGTTCTGTTTCATATAAAAAGAAAGGAAGCTTACTTTTGCTTGCCTGCTTCTCACAGCCTTCTCTGAATCTTAGATTTAAAGAGGGATATGAATATTAAAAGCAAAGTGGAAAAAACATCTCTCCCCTGCCCGACCCTTTGGACCCTTTGACATCCTTGGAGTCTTCCCTAATTTCATTCATCTTCTGCTCTCATAAAATATGAACTATAAAAGTCACATTTTCATTGAAGGACAATATAAAAATTGGCTAATACGTTAGCCTTTGGAGGTCTAAATTTGATCAGTGTGTGTATAGTAGGGAAAAGAGAGGAGGGATGGATATGGATGTGCGTGATATGTTCCACTGCCTGGGGTTAGTGATGTTGCAGAGAGCCCCCCCCCCTTCTTTGGTTTGATGCTCAGTGATGTGGGTGAACTGAGAATGGCTTCATGTGGGCGAGGAGGCTAGAGTACCAGAGGGAAGACACTCACAGTTCTGAACAGCAGCTCCCCGCACTTCAGCTAATAAAACAGCTTCTGCTTGCTCCCAGGGCAGAAAAGATTCAGCAGCACCACCCCTTAAGACACTATAGAGTTTTGAAGCAGCTCCTGGGGGCCCCGGTATCATTTTTATTATGATGATCACTATTAATTCTGCTGGAACCTCCTAGGACATTCTCTGAATGAAAATCATCTCTCTGAGAGCTTGTGATTAGTTCTAATAGAGGGACTCTCCCGTTAAGCTAACAGTAAACTAATCAAGTAAATGCAAGGCGAAAATCCCTGTAAATGCAGGCAAATGCTTCTCCAGGGGTGCAAGGTGCCTATCAGATTTCTTTGCATGCTGTGTCTGCTGTGCATTGCCTCTTGTAAATGGGAGCCTTTGCTCCCTATTCAGCTGGGAGGCTACTTAAATCACACAGGGCTCCAGTGAGCTTCAGAGCGTGTCCACTCGTTTACAGGATTATTGCTAAATTTATTATGCCTAACTTCCCCCCCAGTCCAAGGCTAATATATGAAGGATGGCTTCCGTATCAGAGTGAGATCCTCTCTAGTCCTACCTGGTATGACCTTATTAAATAAGCCAAGAAGCATCTCCCCCAAAATTGGGAGATAAATAGGATGCCAGGTTGGCATTTATCCAGTGCTTTATTTGATTGTTGCCGTATGGATATGCATTTTCAGGTCAGAATCTGAAATGCTGGAACTGAATTATGTCTTTTAAATCATCAAGGATATTTACCAGATACATGTGGTTTGGCTGACCACCATATTAGAGAGGAATCAATCTTTGGGGAATATGTGCACCAAGGAATGCTGCCCGTTTGCCTGTTTTACCTGTTTTTTTTTTTTGTTTTTTTTTTTTTTTTTTTTTGCCCCTGAATGTGTACAACTTTTCTTCCCTTGTCTCCTCATTTTTTTTTTCAGAAGCCTGAGGAAATAATAACAGGCTAGGGTAAAATCCTTAAGGATCTTTACTAATGACTGCTGATGGTACAGTACCACATTGTCATGTCAAGTTGCAAATATCTTTGACTGGAGAAAGTTGGGAACTGTGGTTCCAAACATTATTCCATGTGTTGGATAGTTGAAACACAGAATTGTAAAGAAAGAGTTGGACCAACAATGCTATTATAGACCTATTATAGACTTAGCACAGAATGAATGCTAGACTTTTTGTGTTCTTTCTTTCCATTCCTTTTTGTTTGTTTGTTTGTTTGTTTTTGGTACTTACTTAGGTAGTTTCACTATAGTTTTACATTCTAGGGGATGCTATAAAGGAAATAAATTATGCCATGCTGGCCTACTCTGGGGTTCCCAGAGCAGCCGTGTTCTTTTCTTGTATGCAAGGTTTGAGATGATGTGATCATATCTGAGTTTGAATGGCTGGTTCTCATTTGAACCTTCTCTGATGCACTTTACGTTTATTCTGGCCTGCTGGATAGCTTGACTTAGGATTTAGACCAATTTTCCTAAAGCAGCGGTTAAGTTTCCCTGTTTGAAGCTGTGGTTTCAAGTACATCCACAACCAAAGTATTCTGTAGAGGCTCAGCTGGAGCATCTAATCTGGTTTGACTCTTCAGCTCTACACTTTTGCAAGGAAGAATGGCTTCTCCTGTGATCAGCAGGACCTTAGGTTCAAAAGAAATAAATAAATAGAAAGCGTGAGGGCGCTCAGAGATTTTGTTTTCTGTTTAGAATATTCCAGTAAGGTGAAGGTGATGAACATTGATTCTGTTTGATTCATGCTTTTCTGGAAAATCATCTTTTGGTATATTTAATTTTAATTCAAGTTCCCCTTCTCCCCCGTACACACTGGATTGCTTTAATAACTTTGTGGTTTCTGCTACACTGATTCAAATTCAGTCCATTAGTGACCTCTATCTGTGAGAAGTGAATACTCATTGTTTTTCTTTCTTCTCATCAGCATCTGCAGACAGATGATGTATGTCTGGGGACCTACCAACTCCATAGATCTTTCTGAATATTTCATTTTTTTTTCTGATTTGATTTTTCTAATACAGAGTTCAATGCAGATAATGATATTTAGTAACAGTAATAAAATGTTATCAGGGAACAGTACTACAAAATGGTTTTTCCATAAAGCATCGACAATATTATCAACATAAATTAAATCCCAACAATGTATACTGTCTGAAAGAATTGCATACTCAAGGCGGCTGTTATGTTGAGGCTCACAATGCTGCTGAATGTCTGTGAAATTTTATTGCCCCTAAGTGCTTACATAACAAGGGAAACTTGAGACAGGCCCAAAACATATATGTGGTAACTGGACTTCTTACTTGCAGTATGCATGCATCTTTAAATTCAGCTTGGCTTCTGCTGTGAACTTAGGTGCAGATGAGGGACTGACTAGGTGGAGAACAAAAAGGATATCTATAAACAAATGTTCTTTTAAAGAGACTCGAAAAGCCTGACTCTTAATCCAGCTGTATCTCTGGGGCTTTTCGAATAGAAGTCCAAATTTTAGTTGATTATTCAAAATATTAATTGAAGTCAAAGTTTGCTGCACTTCTTAACTTGGGTGGATATCGTTATTTGGCATTTTCCACATGTTCTTCATGTAGTGGTGTTTGGGATTTGGAGCTTTTAGGATTTTTTATTTCTTTTCCCTTGGACAGGTTTTATACAAGAGACATTTTTAAAGACCAATTATTGTTATTATTGAAGTTTAACAACCATTATAGTATCCGCATGGGCTTCCTTTCTTATTGTTCCTGCCCTCCTTTATTTGCTTTTGTGAAATCGTATTTTTCCTCTACAACTCCATGTTGAGGTTAGGAGCAGTATTATCAGTATGATGTGACCTTCTTTAATAAAAATTAATCTTCATGTTTATAATAAAGTACACACACATACCTCAATAGCTATTTTTAGACATTATTTTCAAGGGTCTAAGTATGTTTCTTTTTTAAGGGCTATGACACTAATATTGTAATAGGAATACCCTGTGTTCTGATGAATACAGAGGCTTATTTCTGTCTCTTGAAACAGTAAAACACTATGTTAGCAAAATAATCAGTGGTATTTTGAGTACATGGTCAAAATCTGTTAGAACCTTCATGTTTCTTTCACTTTTCTTTTTTTTTTTCCTTCTCCCCCCCCCCCCCCCCCCCCCATCCTTTGGTGAATTTCACATCTACTGGTCTTTCTGGTTTTCTTTGTTTCTTTCTACTGTGGCTCTTTGAAGTCCTTCAAAATTAAACAGTAGCTACTTTTTGGGGAAATTCATCATGGTATGTTCTGGATTCCAGGAGAGTTAATGACGCAGAAAAAGTCCTGTAAAACATCTTTGTAAAAGAAGTCCTTCTCTTGAAGGCTTCCTACTTACTGGCCTCCTGTACCATTTGCAGTGAATTGGAACTCAGTTATTTATTTTCCAAATACCACCTCTAACTTAATTTAATGTGGGATGTGTTTCTGCAGAAGTGTGCATTGCCCTGTGTGTCCCGAGTCCCTTCAACAAAGCGGTATCATTGTTACCAAACTGCAATAAGGGAAGGTCACAGAAAATCCTCTGGTATAATTGAGGAAGTCAGAAGGCCTCATTCACAATTCTCAAATGCTGGTCAGTTACTCTGCTGATATTTAATAAGGACATACATTTTTTTTCCCCCAGCAGCTTAGTGGTTAAAGACTTCAATTATTTTTGGAAGTGTTCACAAAATAAGACTTTGGAGCTGCAAACATTTCCTTGATGCTTCTCATTTTCTTCTCATGTTGATTTTAGAAGAATGTGCAAGAAATTTGAAAGCGGCCTTCTGTTGACCTAAGTTTATGTAAGTTTATAGGTCCTATTGCTCATTTCAATCTTATTGCTATATTTCAGTTCTTTTAATCCAGGCTTTCATAAAGATAGAAGAACTCCCCATGTGAACTGTTGAAGAACCTGCAAGGTTTTGGAGTTAAGCCTACTGAAAAATAGGAAGTCTCAAAGTCGTAGATGCCAGTGGTCACTGAGACCACCTTTTCCGGGAGTGAAAGACCAGTGGCTCCTGTGTAGACTCACGAATACACTGCTCACCAGAGTCCACACAGGTCACATGGCCAAGTGGAAACCATTAGATACATATTAGTCCTGAAATAGGTTCACATGTTGGTGTCACTCTTATCCCCAGCA